TTTGACCCAGCTATTCCCCTGCTGGGTATCTTCCCCAAAGAATTAAAAGAATCATACCACAGTGATATATGTACACCTATGTTTATAGTGGCACAGTTTGTAATAGCTAAAGCATGGAAACAGCCCAAGTGCCCATCAAGTGGAAACCAGATAAAGAAGATGTGGTTTTTTTATAAAATGGAGTACTACTCAGCCATAAAGAACGAGAAATTAGGAACATTTATAGCTAAATGGATGCATATTGAGGACATACTCAAGTGAAATAAATAAGACACACGTATAAATACTGAATAGTTTCTCTAGTGTGAGAAACTGAAAGGGTAAATAAAGTTTAAAATTATTAAAATGAATAATTGATAATTTGAAATAGGAAGAAAAGGTCCAGAGGGGTAGGGGTGGTAGGAGGGGAAGGGAAAAGCAAAGAAGGGAAAGGAAAAATTATGATAAAAGAAAAAAAAAAGGAAATGAAGTCTATGTAAATAGGGAAGGGCGCACAGATAATGGGGAAAATATAAGAACCAAGATACATCATGTATAGGTACAAGCACCCAATGATAAATGTAAACATATTATATAGCTAAAATGTACCCACAAAAGAATTTAAGAAAAAAAAAAAGAATTTGATATGTGGATTCCTATGAACACACAACAGGATAAATTTTACAAAACAAGCAAGCTTTTTAAAAATTTAGTTACAAAAAAAATCAAGTCGAAAATTAAGACACTGGAAATGTAAACCTAATTCAATCTTCATATTCTCTTTATCCTTAAACTAATAAAAGCAAATTTTCTTTTTTCTACTTTCAAATGACTTGAACTGAATTAGTCTACTTTCAACTTCAGAAGTTATTATATAAATACATGAATTGCTTCCGAAGGAAACTCTTAATGAATCTCCTGTTTAACTAAATTCTCCTAATTATGAGGTCTCCCTATTTAAACCTCTTTAAGTCAATTAAATAGTTGTAGCTTGTCCCTAAACTTCAATCAGTGTGATGCTTATGTCATAGTTAAGTACATGATAATTTCTGTTTAACATTAAGGACCTACCAGTACCAAGACTACAAAAAATTTTTAAGAATCACATTTACACGGCCTATAGGACTCATTTATTTCCACTAAGTGATCATATAAAATATCTATGGCAAATGCTTCAGAATTTGGTGGTAAGTCATAGAATTCTATGAAAGAGTAAATCAGATGCCAAAGAAATAGAATATGCTGCAAATATGCAATGAGGATTTCACAGCTCCAAAAAAACTCTTGCTTCTGCAACTCAGAGTTAGCTCTAAAATAGGTAGATAAAGAAAACTCTATTTTAGCTACTAAATCAAGTACAGATTTCATGCACATGTTTAATCGACTTTGGAGGGGGGATTTCAATTTAACTGAATCCTTCAAAAATATAATCCATTCTTTTTTGGAGCCTGGCCACGTAAGTGTTAATTCCTATTTCATGATTTTTAGTTTTACCTTTCATGTATTTAAAATTATACCTTAAAATTTTTAGAAACCAATGGTAATGTTGACTCTAAATTTTTTTTAACATGCAAGATCTTATTAACATTTAGAAATTTCACTAAGCTCTTAGCAATGGTTACAGCAAAGTTTTAATCAACTACATCTTATAAAAATGCTTCTCATGACTAATTTTTGTTGTAGCTATTTTCAGGGATCTTAATGATTTCAATCTTTAAGGCTGTTAACATGGCATTATCTCTGCCAGCTTTTTCTAAATTATCATACTGAGATTTACAAACAATCAGATGAGCATTTAGAAATCATTTTGTTATATAAAACCTTCATTACAGGAGAATTTCTTTTTTTTTTTTTTTTTCTTTTTGGGACAAGGTCTCACTTTGTACTGAACTCACTATGTAGCCGTGGCTGGCACTGGAACTCATGGTGATCCTCCTGCCTCAGCCTCCCGAGTGCTGGGATTACAGGTGTGGGCCACCATGCCTGGCTACAACTTTCTCATAATGAAATTTTAGCTTTGCAAATATACCTTGTATAATGTAGCTATCAAATTTATTCTGTCATATTTTCATCTTTTAAAAAGAGGATTTTTTTTGTTTTTGTTTTCGGTTTTTGGTTTTTTGAGACAGGGTCTTGCTATGCAATTTAGGCTGGCCTTGAACTCACTCTGTAGCCTAGGCTGGCTTCAAACTCTCAGCAATCCTTCGGCCTCAGCCTCCTGAGTGCTGGGATTACAGGTATGGGCCATCATGATTGTATATATGAATACGTGAATAAGTATAGATTGTTGAACATGAATAAATGTAATCACTGTACATGCAAAACTAAAACATCCTTTGAAAACAAACCCTACTGTATCTTTTGGAACCAAAATTAATATAAGATCCTGTCTTATTATCGGGGAAATATAGTAGCAGTAATAATATACTATTAATCTACTAGAATAAAACAAGTCTCTAAGTCAAAACTACCAGCATACAAAAGTTAACAGTGGAACTAGCTTGTGCCATTTGAATTAAAAACATTATTTCATTTTTCATGCACCTCGGTATTTGAATTTCTATTTTAAAAGTTTAAAATATATTAGTGGCTGGTACGTAGACTACAAAAGTGAACATGACGAATATGGTGAATGGTTAAGTTCCCTATCTTCCCAGTTCCCATAAATTCAAGGTGTTCAAATAATCCAAAAAAATCACATTATAAAGTTAATTTGGGGTGGGGTTCTCCAATCATAAAAGTTATGTTGGCCACTGTATTCTCTCATACATGGATAGCCCACCCTCTGAGTATAGGGGGTACTTCTTTTCCTACTTTTCCTTGGACCCAACTTGCTCTGCAGTTTGTTTCTTTTCCCACCACCAACAAAATTTTGCTACCGTTTACACTTGTCTTAACAATTCTTTGCTTGGGACAGAAAGAACCTAGAAACCACCTCCAGAAGGAGACTCCAACACCCCAAAATCCGGTAACATATTTGGTTTAGCCAGCCAGGAGAGCAGGTAAGGACCTTGTAGCACATTTTTTGTTTGTTTGTTTCTCTCTAAAATGCCTTTTGGAACTCATGTTTCTGTTCTCCAGGATATTATGCTCAGCCTTCTTGTTCTAGGGGGAAAAAAATAGCCATTGGTAACTTAGTAGCCTGCCTAAGTAGCCAGCTACCTCAGTTAACTCCCTTTTGTGCTCAAAGTCTCGTCTGCGCTGTTTCTTTTTCAGGGTGCTATGTTAGTCAGGGTCACCATCTTCTCTTGTCAGATGGCTGGGCACTGTTCGGGTCAGCAACCACCATGTTTATTTCTAGATTCCTTCTTTGTTTCTTCTCACAAAATATAAGTAATTTAGAAACATATGCCTGGTGGTCTAAGCAAAACAAAAGAACAGTTAAGTAAAGCTTAACTCAAGAGACTGAGTCAAAGGTAGAATGATCCTTACTCTTCAGATTTTTTTTTTTTTTTTGGTACCGGGGATTGAACTTGGGACCTTGCGCTTGCAAGGCAGGTGGTGGAACCAACTCAGGATTTTTAGAGGTGTTTCTCTTTACTGCCTTAAAGTACAGTGATACCTCGGTTCATGAACTTAATTCTTTCTACGATTCTGCTTGCAAACCGAATTGGATGGGAATAGTCACTCTTTTCTGATTGTCTTCTGACAAGTTTTCTTCTTCAACTTAGCCAGTGAGCTATAACACCCCAAGGTAATTGGAGAGCACATAATCCCCAGCCTACAACCTCTTCCAGCCTAAAGAAGGTATAGAAGCCAGAGACCTCCACTCCCTTAGCACACTATAAAGAATTACCAGGATACGTGTCTTTCAGGAGGAAATGAGACTGGAGATTAGGGTGGATGGAAAGCGGGTGTGAACTGTTAATTACAAAATTCCAGGACACGTGCACAGAATAGTTCCCAAGCCCAGCATGTGGACCTCTCACAGGAACTTGGGAAGGTTTTCAATAGTATGGCTTAGACCTGATGCCAGCTTGAAGAGAGGATGTTACAAAAAGGACAGTTCACATTGAGTTTTTGTTCTCTCTTGCATAGATGGCCCACCCTCACATTGTAGGGTATACTTCTTTTCCTGCTTTTACTTGGCCCAAGCTCTGCAGAGCCTGTTTCTTTTCTCTCCTCTAATAAAACTTTGTTACTATTTTAAAAAATAATAATAATGTTTTGCCAAGTAACGGACAACACCAAAACCATATATGTTCAATTTAACATAAAGGGGAAAATACAGATGATAAAGCTAATAGAATAAATCTGAATAGTGAAAATTTATATTCCATTATTTATACACATTGCATACAAACACAAAAATCAACTAGCTCATAAATTAAAATGCTATATAGGGCCAGGGATTTAGCTCAGTGGTTCTGGCGCCTGCCTTGCAAGCCCAAGGTCCCAAGTTCAATCCCCGGTACCAAAAAAAAAAAGAAACAAACAAAAAAAAGTGCTATATAGACATTAAACACTCAACAATTTTGCTTATACACTTATAATTTAAGACAGTTTTTCTGGAAACTGACTTAGATAACATAAGATCATTGGTTCAGTAATGATCTGATCTGTCACACTCCCCCACCTCACAAATTTCCCAAGAAAGTAAGTGTTTCAGTCATTCTAGTGACTTTAAAGCTTTGGTTTATGTCTATTTCATTTTATAAACAACTCTTTAATCTTTTGTCCATAATAGCATACTGAAACAAAAGGCTGGTAATTTCAGACTTCTAATCTCAAATGAATACAGCTTTAAATAGATTCTTATTATGAGTTAGAACCTAGTATGTTCAAACTCTGAGTCTCTGATCCTTAAAATGTTAACTACATCAAAGAAGTACCAGAAGATTACATTTTAGCTAGGCACAGTGACACATACCTGTAATCCTCTCTACTTGAAGCTTCTTGGGAGGCTGAGGCAAGAGGATGGGCCAGCTTGGGCAACTTAGTGAGAACCTGTTTCAAAATTTAAAAAATAAAAAGTGGGCTGGGAATACAGCTTAGTGGCAGAATAAAAATTATTTTTAAAGTTTACTATCTTAAAGTCATTCAAAATCTTTTGAGAAAAAAATTTTAAACTGTTTTGTATCGCCTTATCATCCATCACCTATTGATTCCATTATGGAGATTAATTCTAAAAGAATTAGAAAAGTAGATAATGATAACATCTACTTTTGTATTTGTCTTAGTCACTTTCTTTTGTTAAGACACAATCTCCAACATCCACAACTTAAGGAAGCAGAGGTTTATTTTGGCTCACAGTCTATAGAAGTTTCAGTCCACAGTCCATTGGCTCCAAAGAAAGTCGGCATGGCAGAAAGGCATAGCAGAAGAGAACTGCTCAAAATGGCCAGAAAGCAGAGAAAATAAGGTGAGCCACAGGAGAGGGAGAGTACTATACCTATATGCAAATGAAACTTGGGGGGAGGGGCATCTAGATATAAACTGTAACATTCCATCCTGCTCCCCATAGGCTTATTCATGCATATCTGTTTATGCAAACTGCATTTAGTCCACTTCTACGAGTTGCCAAAGTCCTAACTGTTCCAGTACTGCTGAAAAGTCCAAAGTCCAAGTCTCCTCTGAAACTCAAATTCTTAGCTGAAAGCTCCTGTAAAAATCAAAGAAGGATGAAATGCTTCCAGTATACAATGGCAAAGAATAAACATTCTCATTCCAAAAGGGAGAAGTAGGAGAACAAAGTAATGGGACCAAAGCATGCCCAAAATCCAGCAGGACAAACATTAAACAAAATCCATAGTTCCAAGTCTATGAGGATGCAAATTCCAAAGGGTTTGGGTGGCTCCGCCCCTGCCTCACTGCTGGTGGTTGCAGCCCTAATGGCTTTTCTCTTAGGGTGGCTTTGCTCACTCCTTGGAGCTGTAGCATCAGATGAGGGTCTGGAAAGCTAGGAGTCGTCTTCCCGTGAAAAGACCCTCCACCTCTCTGGGTCCATCCCCTTACTCCAGCAAGACAAAGATTCCCCAAGTGGAGAATGAAGAAGTCAGGTCATCCATAGTAGAAGGGGGAAGTCAGAAATGATAGTAGTGACAGGTTTATTTATAAGATGAGAAAAGTGGAGACCAAGCTACCAAACAGCAAGCTGTAAGGCAGGGAAAGCTCCAATGAGCTTCTCAACGTGGTGTCTTTGCTCTGCCCATAGGGGTAAACTAGTCTAGGGTGACTTAAGGATTGTGGGGTCTTCACTGATTGGTATACTCTAGGTCAATCAGGGTCTTAGCCTTTGTTACTGGGATGAGCTATTGCTAGGGTGAGCTAAGGGTCATGGGGTCTAGGGACCTCCAGTAAATATATGCAAGAGGGCCCCTAAAAATAATTGTTCTACACCTCGAAAGGTTTCACAAAGGGCAATTTCCAGTAAATAGGTGTTCATTTGTATTAACCGTCTGCCACATCAGCCATGCCACGTTAGCCACTTCATGCCGTGACCCTTGCTGTCTCCCCTCTAGCTTTCCTCAGACATTCCATGTTCCTGGCAACTCCAACTTTCTGGGGTCTCCACTGCAGTTTTGGCTTCACTCCCACAGCTTCACATACTGCCTTCTTGGGGGCACACTGCCTGGCCTCCCAAGCCATCTCCTGAAATCTTAGTGGAAGCATTCCTGACCTCACAACTCTTGCATTCTGCATGCCTATAAAACCAAACCATGTGGAGCATAGCCAGGCCCCCTTGAATTGCTTCTGTAGTGGCCTCTGAGTGTCTGGACAGCTGAGCACTGTAAACTGAGACAAGGTCTTGCTATGTAGTTCAGACTGGCCTTGAACTTGCTATGTAGCCCAGGCTGGCCTCAAAGTCAGGTAATCCTCCTGGCTTCTGACTTCTGAGATTAGAGGAATGCATCATTCATGCCTCACCTTGGCTTCTTTTCAATACCAATCTTTTTAGTAAACAAGTTCTCTGCTCCATCTTTGCCAGACCCAACTTTATCAGAGCTTCCTTTCTGGCCAAATTCAAAACTTCTTGGACCGTTTGCCCTTGATTGTCTACAGAGAGATGGCTAAAAGCCCCCAATAGTACTCAAGCCATAGCCTAAATGTTAGGCTGCCTTAAAATGTTCTCCATCAGATTAAACAGTCTGCCACCTTTTGTGTGTGTGTGTGTGACAGGGTCTTGCTATGTAGTTCAACCTGACCTTGAACTCACTACGCAGGCTAGGCTACCCTCATGGCAATCCTCCTGCCTCAGCCTCTTGAGTGCTGGGATTATAGGCACGCACCACCATGCCTGGTTTAGTCTGTCACCCCTTAATCTCAGTCTCCTGCAAAGTCTCAGGAAATGAGCAAAAGGTAGACAAATTTCTGCCAGAGCACAACATACATGATCTTGAGTCCAACTGCCAACAGAGCCCTTGTTACTAACTGAAACCTCCTGAGCCTGGTCTTTTCCATCTGCATCTCCATCAGCATTCTGGTCTTCTGAGCTCTGATCACAATCTCCCATCAAGCTCGGCTCATAGTTTCTCCAGCTGGCAACTCCAGACCTTTCCAAACTCTTCCCACAAACCAAAGGGCTCTAAGCCACATGGTCAGTTACAATCACAGCAATGACCCTACCTCGCTGGTACCAAAATCTATCTTAGTTACTTTCCTCATTACCACTGCTGGGACACAACATTGGAAACCAACAAATTAGAGGAAAGGTTTATTTTGGCTTACAGTTGATAAGAGGTTTCAGTCCATAGTTGGCTGGTTTCAAAGCAGGGCAGCATGGCAGAGAGGCATGGCAATGGAGAACTGCTCAAAGGTATGGTGATCAGGAGGACAGTGTGAAGCAAGCAGGCTGGAAGGGAGATATACCCTTCCAGGTCACACTCCCTCTGACCTGCCTCCTTTGACCAGGCTCCACTTCTCAATATCACATTTAGCTACAAACTCATCAGTGAACTAATCCACTGATAATTATCACTCCCATGATCCAATCACTTCCCCAAAGCCCCACATATAAGTACATAAGGCTTTGGAGGTACATCTAGATATAAGCCATAACAGTGTTATAACCAATCACACAAATAACCTTAAATCATAAGCAATAAACCCATACCTTAATTGAAAAAGAGACCAATGACTAATATTTGACTTAAAATCTTGTATTTTAGCTGGGTATGGTGGCACATGGCTGTATTCTCACCATTCAGGAGGCTGAGACAGGAGGATCGCCAGCCTGAACTACATAGGGAGACCCTGTCTAAAAAAATAAAAAGAAAAAAAAAAACTTGTATTTTATATATGCACTGAAATATCATACTATATGCTCCAAATATATACAATTGTGTCAATCAAAAATTTTAGAAACGTTTTAGCAGAGATGAAAATGTTAACTACCTTATTTGATCATGCATTATGCACTGTGCAACTGTATCAAATGCTCATATTGTACTCCATAAATACAGAAAATTAAATAAAAATTAAAAATAAACATTTTGTTTATAAATAAAAGAAAGTATCAAACTTGAAATTCAAAAGAAAAACTCTTACATATTTATGATTTTTTCCATTGCTAGGGACTGAACCCAGGGCCCTGCACATGACAGGCATATGCTCTACCACTGAGCTACAGCCCCAACCCATAAGTATGATATTGTATAAAGAAATTAATTTACTAAAATTTTTATTTAGAAAAACCTATAATCCTAGCTATTTAGAAAGCTGAGACAGGAAAATGGCAAATTCAAGGCCAGCCCAGGCAACTTAGTGAGACCTTGTCTCAAAGTTTAAAAAAAAAAATAGGCTTGCAAGATATATAGTTCAGTGGTAGACTGGCTAGCATGTGCAAGGCCCTGGGCTCAATCCCCAGTACTAAAACAAAACAAAACAAAAAAAACTACTGAGGCTGAAAGAGCTCAGGGATGCTTAGCATACATGAGGCCCAGGCTCAATCCTTAGCACCTCCTCTCAACACTGTTTTATTTACAAACATTAAGCAGATGAAATTTCAAATCAATACTTTCTCCCACTATTCCAACTTAGGCCTTGCAGAATGGCTCCCTCAAAGAAGCGTAGTAAGAAAGGCCATTCGGCCATTTACAAGGCAGCAAAAAGAATATACTCATCCAAGGGGTGGGCTTCAAGAAGCATGCCTCTTGTACACTTACAGAGATCCAGAGAGTTGCCATGAAGGCACTGGGTACTCCTGTGGTACACACAGATATTTATATCAAGCTCAACAAAGCTGTCTGAGCCAAAGGAATAAGGGATATCCATATCATATCTGTGGTATGGTTCTCCAGAAAACGAAATGAGAATAAAGATTCACCTTGGTAACCTTTCGCCACATTCAAAAATCTCCAGACAGTGATTGTGGATGAGAACTAACTTTTAAAATTATAAAGCTGCCAAAACAAAAAAACAAAACAAACTTTCTTCTTTAGTGCCTTAATTACTTTTTTGTATTTGAAAACTAAATATCTTTCTTTTTGAGAATTGGTCTACTTGTTATTGTTTTTAAAGAAAGCAAGGCATTCTTGAAATGGGCACATTTCAACCTCACAAACTGTTTATTAGAAACATATAATCACCAACAGCTAAAACATTCAGACAATACTGGAAGCTCATAAAATCCTAAGAGAATTTTTAAACATTTATCTCCCAATATCTATAAATCTCACCCAATTTCTTTAAATTTTCACTTTAAAAATACTATCTCCTAAGACCTTCAAAAGGGCGAATAAGAATATATAATTTTATTTTTCAATAAACAAAAAAATTAAATGTCATTTTTAAAAACATTATACATTTGGGAATCTTAACAGTGAAAGGGGAAACAGAGAAGGGTAAAGGTTGAGATTGAGTGCTGAAATACAATACACAAGATGGCCATGGGGGCACACAACTACTGGGGGAGGCTCACTTGAGCCCACAAGTTCAAAGAGTCTAGGCAACAAACCGAGACTCTGTCACCAAAAACCAAAAAAAAAATACAAATACTATTATGCATAGTACATATTTGATAAAAATAAATGTTACTGGCCTACATATTTACAATAGTCTTTATCATTATTTATAGTGTTCTTTTTCTACCTACAAAAAAAAGTCTACTGTGGAACTGTGTTAGTTATTTCACTCTCCTTGCTGAGACAAAATACCCAGCACCAAAGGTTAAAGGGGAAAGGGTTTATTTAGCACAGTTTGTAGAGGTTTCAGTCCATAATCTGCTGGTTCCAAGGCAGGGGTGGCAAACAGGCTTCACAGAGGAGAAACAATGTGGCCCACAGAAGGTAGCAAAGGTAACAAGGGACCTTAACAGTGTCTTTCTGCTCCTTTTATCTTATTCTGACTTCTGGGGTTAGGGCCGTGCCAAACTAATCCCTCACGTGGAGTGGGTTAGTAATCACACCCCCTTAATCCTAGCATCACAAATTCCAGATTTAGGTGCTTTTGAAAAAGACTGCATGAGGCTTTGGGGGGACATCTAGACACAAGCCACAACAGGAACAGTATATGGTGTTGTAGTGCTGTATTGCCACGAGCTCATACATCTCATGCATCAGGAGGCCACATCAATTACTGATCCCACAAGAACTTCAATAATATCAAAGTCTATTTCACATTGATTCAGCTCAAACATCTCAAATATTCATCATCTCACCACAATAAAGCAATTTTTTGGAATTTTAACACTTTTGTTAACCCAAACATTTAAAGAAGGGTATACTTCAGCAGATTTCTTAAATCTAAAAATCAGTCATTAAGACAGAAGGAAATTCTCTTTACAGCACACTTTAGAATGGTGAGTTTTATGTTGTGTGAATCTTAATTCATTTAACAAAAATTAGTTTTACAATTGCATTTCTTTTTCACTGATGAAACTGTCACCCTTCTTAATCATGAGTCCCCGGAGTTTTTTTTCCAATGTCCCCCTCTTCTATTCATATCTATTCAACTCTCTGATCCTATCGTCTTCCTTCAAGTTACTTCCACAACCATCCTAGCCTTTCCAGTCACTCAGCCTCTGTGCAGGCCTTTAGAACCTTACATTAATACTAATCTCAACTATGCTTAAAAAACAAGAAAATGAGGGCCAGGGATTGAGCTCAGTGGTGCTGTCACTTGACTTGCAAGTGCAAGGTCCCAAGTTCGATCCCTGGTACCAAAAAAAAAAAGAAAAAGAAAATGAAAGAATAATTTAGTTGGCTAGAAAGATGATACAATAGTGAAATAAATCTAAAACATTCTCTTTCACCTTTTTCTCCAGGTTTTTTTTTTTTTTTTTGAGACAAACTTGTAAAGAAATATCCATAGAAAAGTGTAGACCAGCAAACTGGCAAAGTCACAGACTGTCTCAGCCTCTTGAAGTTTTCTTACTGCTTACACAAAATATTGTATCAACTTTCAAAAGGTACAGACTAAAAATATCATTTTTGTAGTCTGTATCAGGGAGGAAAAACTTTTCCTCTACCCACTAAGGTTCAGTACTTAGGGGCCTATGAATTAAACTACAACACAGGTTAGACTACATACACAAGAGTTCACAAAAAACTGAAATTCAAAGAAACAGACTTAGGGCCTTATATATAATTTTAACAGAGAAAAGAGAGATTAGACTCTGAGCAGCAGTAAATACTGAGGAAGGTACTAGGAAATACAGGGGAGAACTAATGGAAGATAGGGTTATTTCAGTAAGGTATATTTACAAAAACTCATCTGTCAACTCCCAATTACAGAAGGAAAAACTTGCTCTCCTCTTTCTCATTCACCAGAGAAACACCTCACAAGGCAAAATTTGTATCTTGTTTTTAGGCAGATAAAGAGGTCAAAAATTTTTTCCTCCATCTGTTGATGATCAATTTCCTTAAACTCAAAACAATTTTTACACCAATATGGCGTATTTTGTGGTGGCATATTCTGATCCCCTTCATTTAATTTTAGTTTTTGGTGTATACACTTAAGAATTCAGAGAGGGTTTTCTGCCCATAATGGAAGAGAACTGACATATCACAATTATTAGACAGGTCACAATTATTAGACAAATTGGAAGACAAATGCAAAGATAGGAGCACTTCAGACTAATAAAGACAGTGAAATTTATTATCCAAGGGAAATCTTAGATTGAGATATCCTAATGAATTTTCTCAAACTCAAAAGCAATAGGTAAACAATATATTTCAAAAAAGAAAACGGAAATATGATATTCTCATTCAGTAGAAAAGACTTTATCATGCAGTATTTTTGCATTAAGAATGTAGACAATGATTTGCTAAATGAACAGGTAACACGTATTCTTTTGTCCCTTACATTTGAGTGCTAAGTTTTGCTTTATACATTTCATCAGTTTATAAGTTCACAAGTATTGAAAGCTACACACAGGGGTAATGGGAAGGAAATTTTAAAAATTTGTTGGACTTACTATTCTAGTGGGTTGTCTATAAATCTCAAACTGCAAATATCTTCCAAGTGTACAGCACAAAAGATGTCCATCTTTTCAACAAAATTATGACCCATCAAAAGTCTCAGAAGGAATGACTAGCTAGAACTTATTTGAAACATACAAAATCTCAAATGAGTATTTATGAAATGAATAGTTTCAAGGCCATATATCACAATTGATGAGTAGTTAGTGACATTCAGATGATGTTTAGTGACATTCAGACGATGTTGCCCATTATAGATATAACCTTCAAAATTCAGGAAATACAGAATATTAATCTGGACAACATGTGACAGTGAAATATTTAAGTTTGGAAGAGGCAGATCTACACAGAGATTCAGAAAAAGGATGACAGCAAACTCAGGAGTGATAAGTATTATAAGAACTGACAAAGTAATTCCAGAATTCTCTCAGATATATAACTTGTGACAAATTTTTAGAAAACTTTTTTACAAAAATTGGACTGAAGGACTTGAATACTAGCCCTAATTGAAAAGAATAGGTTGAAGTACGATAGCCTCCAAAATCAAACTACCTCAAAACTTCTCTATTTATCACAGCTCACTATTACTACCTGGCCGTCAATTGGCTAAGTATATTATGTAGGAAGAAACTGTCCTTAGGCTGGATCTGGGGGTGCAGCCTATAATCCCAGCAATTGTAGGCTGAGGCACGAGAATCATCAAAGGTTTGAGACCAGCCTGGGCTACATAGTGAGTTCAAGTCCAGTCTACACTACACAGCAAGATCCTATCTCAGAAAAAAAGAAAGTAGCACTCTTAGGAATAGTAGAACTGAACTTGTTATTTTCATAAACGGGAAAGCCAAGAGAAGTCAATCACATACAATTTGGATTTCAAACAAGCCCATGATTCTTACCATACTAACAAAACCATGGTTTTTCTTAGCTCATTGCATTCTTAAACACCAATGAATTTTAAAAACCATGTAAAAAACTGACCTTAAGTGATCTGTTGTATAAAAAGATTATGATACCTTCAAAAAGAGGTTCAGAAATTATACTTGCAAAAAAACTGACTTAAAGATGGTCCATGATTGACACTAGGATAAAGAAAGCTTTCAGTGTATGACAAAAGCTTTAGTTACAAAACTGAAATTATGAAGAAAATTCTACATGCAAATAAGAACTTTTAAGAACCAGGTAGATAATTTTTTCTTACCCTCTAACCACAGTGTTTTAAACCACAGATCTCAAAGTGGGAAGAAAGATGTTCTTTTAAAACAAGCATGCTATAATTCTAATGTTTGCCCAAAGTATTCAAGTGTGATGCATTTTCACTGTAGGGGTGATATTTAACTAAATGTATGAAATACTTGTTTTTCATTTTTCAAGGATACACAGAAAAGTTTGCTATGCTTAAATTCTTATTAAAAGCTCCAATAACTCCTTTTACATTATATGCCTTCATCCTTATATTTTCACAACACACTTTTAGTATTCATAAACTATGTAACTTTAAAATACAAAAAATAAAAATAAAAGCCAGGAGTGGTGGTGCACACCTGTACTTCCCCACTTTGCTGAGACCAAGGCAGGAGGATCACAAGCTCAAGCCCAGCCTGGGCAACATAAGAACTTAGTGAGACCATTTCAAAATAAAAATTAAAAAGGGCTGGGGATGTAGCTCAATGAGAAGCCCTGGGTTTAACCACCACTAACACAAAAAATACAAACAATCCTTTCAATCTCTAGATGGTAAACAGCCATAACTGTTTTTCTAGGTATACTGAGGGTTAATAGAATCCGTAAAAGAAAATTGCTTTGTAAAATAAACCAAAATTCTAAACACACAGTTTTTATGTTACTGGGTAAATCAAGTTATTATTTAAATATTATTTTTTAAAATTTAATGAAAAAAATATAATCCCTCTCAAAAGAAAAAAGCTTTTCAATATATTTCAAGTTAGTAAACATTTCATATTTCGCCAGGGATTTAGCTCAGTGGTTCCACTGCCTGCCTTGTAAGCACAAGGTCCTGAGTTCGATCCCCACTACAAAAAAAAAAAAGTCATATTTCTCATCTTTCAGAAGTTTCTTATAGCATCACCAATATTAATTTCTAATTTCACCTAAAATTATTTACTTTTATTTACAAAAACTATTGTTAAAATTTGTATAGAAAAAACTAACGGAGAAAAATTCTTGGTACAGTTCTAAATCTGCTCTTAAAGAAAACACGTGTGAGAGTACAAAATTATGTATTCCTTTTCTTTGCCTTTCTCTTCCCCTAGTCAATGCTGAATAGTAAAATACTGGATTGAAGAAGGAGGACTGGAATACTAGGCCTACCTGGAATGGGAAGTAAATGGAAGCAAAGATGCTGAGATTTATGGTTCTTCAACACCAAAAACTATGTCAGAACTTTCACTATTGCTACAGTGGCCCTGGGCAAACTTCAAATGAAAGCAGTCTTTCTGACTTTCTGCCTCCTGTCTTCACACTTCTTCAGACTCAGATGCCAACATTCCTGGAGGACTGTTCCCAACTATTTTTTTATCAGATTACTGATACTAAGTACTAATACCAAAGTTATCACCTCACAGATTACTTGCCAAACGCAAAAAGAAATCTGTAATGGAAAGCCTGTCCCCATCTTACCAAAGAGATCAAATTTAGGGTTACTAATAGACAACTCTGCTTTATGTATTTTCTCATGTTGGGTACTATGAAGAACACTAAATCCACACCTCAATCTACTTAAGACTCTCCCTCTCAACTTCAAGTTTACAGAAAAATACAAGGGATAGCAGGAAGAATTTAAACATGAAGAGGAACTACCACTAAATACTGTATAGAATGTGGGTTCTTCTACAAGATTAATGACTTAATCTCTTTAAAAGGTTGTCATTTTTAAAAAAAGGAAGGAAGGAAAAGAAAAAAGATTAAATTAAAAGAGACCAAGACAAACAAATGTAATAAAAGCTCCAGGTTCTAAAGTGAGTAAAAATGACTTTTTGTGGACAACAGTGAAAACGTGTATTCTATATATATGCATATGTGTGTATATATATGTATGTACACATATATGTGTGTGTGTGTATTAGGTTTTAGGAAGTATCTTTAACATTCTTGAGTGGATTATGGTATTGATTAACAGTATACAGAAAAGTGGCCTTAATCTTGAGATACATACTGACTATGTATAGCATTTAGGAATGAACTGTCGTATCTCCAACATATTTTGAAATGTTCAGGATGTGAGACAGGTAGACAAAACAAATGTGGTAAAATGGAAGAGAAAAAAAAAACACAACAGAAAAAAATCCAGGTAGGTATGAATGTTCAAATGTACTATTTAACTTTTCAGCATGTTTGAAAAAATAACATGATGGGCCGGGGATTTAGCTCAGTGGTTCTGCTGCCTGCCTCACAAGCACAAGGTCCCAAGTTCAATCCCCGGTACCAAAAAAAAAAAAAAAAGAAGAAACAAAAAAAGAAAAAATAACATGATTACTTAAAAAGTTGCAAAGTTAAGAAATTATCTTGAAAACAAAAATATAAAATGTGCAATTCAACAGTATTTTATTTTGGGTTGGGGGGGGAGGGGTAAGTCTCTTTTCCTATTCTCACCCATCCAACAAAAATGGGACATATTATAGGGCCGGGGACTTAGCTCAGTGGTTCCGCCGCCTGCATCGCAAGCGCAAGGTCCCGAGTTCGATCCCTGGTACCAAAAAAAAAAAAACCGGACATATTATAGTGAGTTGAACGCTGAGTGGAGAGTGAGAAAACCCAAAGTTCTATAACTGACCCTGGCCATTGCCAGAAAGATTTCATTCTCCCTAAGGTTCTTCAGCTTCAAAATAATTCTACCAGCGTAAACCACTTCGGCAGGGCTGCAGGTTCAAATTAGGTGGTATCAATGCCAGACAGGAAAGCACGACAGACTCACAATGGCATTATGTCAGGCCGTCACAAAGCACACAGCCCTCCAGCCGGGGCCTCGCCGGCCCACTCCTCCCTGCGTGGGTACAGATGCCCCACGCAGGCCCCTAGCCAAGGCCAAGGGGCAGCTTCTGTACTCAAATGCTCCGTCTCACTTTTACGTATAAGGGCAGTAAGAGACGTCGAGTCCTTAAGATTCAGACTTCAACCCTGAAAACAATAAAGCCAACATTTTAAATTGACAGAATTTCTTAAATCTTCGGCAAACAAAGAGGCTCCTCCGGCTGTGGGTTCCCCCAAAGCCTGCACAAGCGGGTTCACTTGGGCGTTTTTCCTCTTTGCCGTATTTATTGTAAGAGTTAAAACTCGAGGTGAATTGGAGGAAACTCGCTCCCTCTCCCGAGCAGGCTGAAGCCACGGGCGAGCCAGTCCGTTCCGCGCAGCGGCAGAGACCGCAGAGCTCGGCCTGAGGACCGCGCCCAGGCCCGCGGTGTAGACAATGCCGGGGCTCGTCTGCGCAGGACCCTGGCGGTGCGAGTGGACGCGGCGGGCCCACGCGTGGCCTGCTCCTGAGCGCTGGCCGGCGGAGGCGCGGGGCTCTGCGTCCTCCGCGCAGACCCTGGGGGCCGCCACCCCGACGCCCGCAGCTGAGAGCCCCGGCCGGCGCCGCGTCGCGCGGGTACCCCAGCGGCCAAGATGGCGGCGCGCGCGCGCGGTCGCTCCCCGCCTCGGACCCCAGCCCGCGCCCGGAGCGAGGCGGCGGCCACGGGAGGCCGTACTGCCGCGGCGCGGGGCGGGGGCGCTTACCGTGAGTGGAGCGGGTCGACCTGACGGCAGCCCTGAGGAGGAGGAGGAAGAGGAGGAGCGTGCGGCTGAGGCAGCGGCTCCGTCGCGGAGCGGCGCCCGGGCCGGGAAGGCTCCGGCGGGCGGCCGGCGCGCTGCCTCATGGGTAGGCTCCGGGCCAGCGCCGCGCGTCCGCTCCCGGTCTTCGCGCCGACGCGAGCAGGCCCACCGTGGGCGCCGCGCACAGGCCTCGAAGGCTAAGGTGGACTGCGCCGGCCCGCCACGCGGCCCTTGAGGACTGCACCGCCCGGGCGAGGGCGAGGGCAGGAGGAAGGGGCAGGGGAGGCGGCAAGCAACCCAGCAGAAGGGGACTCGCCAGGTCAGTCAAAGGCCAGGGCGTTACCAAGGCTGCCCTCCACTCTGCCGTGTGGCCATTAGCGCACAGTGATTAAAGAAGCGCGCCCAGTGAGTTTACAAGAGCGCTTGCCACGGCACTCGCGCGTGGACACGACCAGTGGTCACGTTTCGATCTGTCAGGAAAGCATCCTCTACCGAGCCTCACGCTCCAGCAACACGCGGAGTCCGCCTGCCTACCAGTCACTGGATCTGCTAATTCTGTCTTCCTGACTGAATCAAGGTTCTTTCTCACGCAGGTTGCCCCAGCTTCTCTCAGGTTACTGTCACTGTGGCCTCCATATTGATTCCTTCTCCAGACTAACCTTCCCCAAAGACCACTGGGATCACCCCTACAGGCCTGGCAGAGTTACAGGTGTCAGGGAAGACGAATGATTTTCCTTGACTGTTGTAAATTTGCAGTTGGGACAGAACAACAGAAAAGCAAGTTTACTAATGCACGTAGGAGACACCTCAGTGAAAATAAAGACAATGTCTTAGAACTCTGCCTTATATAGCAACTTTAACAAAGAACAAATTCGTGAGGAAGTGGCAAAGGAAAACAATTTTAGGCTTCCTAGGGTCTGAAGGTAACTATATGGGTGAGACAAATGAAATAAGATTTGATTTTAGCCTCCTTTGTTGGGGTTACTTGTCCCCTGTAAAGGAGAATTCTTATCATGTCTTTTAGTTGGGAGGGGATAGGATAGAGAGAAAACCCATCCTCACCTCCAAAGAATGCTTTCAGGAATCACTGAAAGCTTTGGCCAGTGTATTCACTTTCAAAAGAAACATTTATGGGTAAAGCTAAATTACAAAGGCTGCCTGGTGAGAATGGGACCAGCAAACAGGAAACAATTTGTATTTTGACTAATTCCATCCAATAAACTCCTCCACTGACTTGTAGAACATCCATCTCTTCTCTTACCACACCTTCCAATTTTTTTTAATGATTTTCTCTTCCTCTCAATACGTTTTCAGTTCTTTTTACACATCACGCCTCCTCCTTAGATGATGTTGTGCTCCACACTCTTCCTTGGTTCATTATTGTCAGGTAAAAAAGCCAAAAACCAAGACCAGACCAGGCCACAGCAAGCCTTTATTGCAGGGATGATCCGCCGGGCTGTCTCTGAACAAAGGAGAGACAAAAGCAACGGCTGGGATGGGGAGCGCTTCTTGTAGGAGCTGGGGTGGAGTTGAGTGAGGTAGTGGCTAGGGACTGGAGGAGCCTGTGATGTCACTAACTGTTAGGAGGAGAGCAAGTATTAGGTTACCCTTTTGGTGGGAGTAGGGGCATGTTGGGAAGAAGAAGGTAGCTATTATATACAGCAGCCACCCTAAATCGAAGGGAAATCTATCAATTATAATGGATACAGGTGATTTTTGCAGCGTCCATTCTACCACTGCTTTGTGTTCTTCCATGCAGTTTAGGCAAAACTTATCCCTATCCCCAACAGGTCTACAAATGGTCCAACTATCCTAAAACTTTCAGAATTAGTCTCATCCTTTGAACCAATTTTTGTTTGAGACCAATCAGAGTGAAGCCCAGGATTTTTGTCTTACTGCAGGACAGAGAAGTTTTTTCTTTTGGTAGTGTGATAGTTGAATGTGAATACTGGAAGAGCTACAATTATCTTTTTTTTTCTTTGCTGATAAGGAGAACCAACAAGATAAAACACACATGGACCATAAATGGCCAAGAGGACAAAAAGGAAAAAGCAAACAATTCCTTAGAGCATCTTAAACATCTATATCAAACCCAAACTGAACCCCTTGGTATCTTTAGACCTTTCCGTTATGTGAGTTAATATATCTCCCTTGTTGTTTAGGCTGAATAGGGTCCAGAATAAATTATTGTGTTATAAAAATAATACTGAGCTAAATGCATCAGTCCCTGAAAACTCTGATCTGCCTAAAAACAGCCTTCCACAAGAACCTAAAAGAAAATTATTATTAATACACTCTAGGGAGCAACCAGAAAAGACTGACTCATCCTCAGAGACAATGAGAATTGTCAGCACACGTAAAGAAACATTGTTTTAAAACTATCATATTGGGGTCCATTTGTCTTTCCTAAACATCATTTATTTTTCTTTTTTTTCCCCAGTACCAGGGATCAAACTCAGGACCTGGTGCTTGCCAGGTAGACGCTGCGCTGCTGAGCTACATCTCCGGCAGTCATTTGTTTTTCTGTAAGAACCCTATCTGCATTCCCCTTCTAAGAAATAATTTGTGTTCCCTGTAAGCAAGAACTCCTCTCCCCTTCCTCTTCAGGGGAAGATATAAATATATAAGGTACAAATTCCACCCAACCTCTTGAGTCACAGTTCTTTGTAAACTCCCTTATATATGTTATTAAAATCTCTTGCTAAACTGAGAGTTTAATACACAGGCCCTCGTGCCTTATTTTGAGGCCTTTAGCTCACAATAATTGAACCTAATAGAAGGAACGTTTTCCTCTGCCACAAATTCAATTTGAGTTGTCTTCTGTTACCTGCACTGAAAGTATCCTGTGATAGCGATAATGACACATTTTCACCATCTTCTTTTCCTCTTTCAATTCAGGACAGCTACCTTTTCTAGCTCTTCTACCTCCGGACCAAGCTATGTGGTTGTTTCTGGCAAGTGGATGTAGACAAAAGTAGCTCATCCAATGTAAGTCTGACTCTAAAAAGCTCCTGTCATTTATAGCTCCTGTTTGTTTTTCATGCATTAGCCAGATACAGAGAACTTGGAGTAGCTAGAGGATGCCTTAATGATGCATAATGTCTTAATGATTGCATGATACATATCACTATGCTGATTTTCACTGGACTGATGATGGCAAAAAAATCTTTATTGGGTTATGCTACAGAGATTTGAGGGCTGTTTATTACAATAGCTACAATAACTAACCTTTACTAATAATAATTGAAGTGGCACCCTGCCATAACAGAAAGCAAACAAAAAGTAAAAATTAAAATACAGGACCTAACCTAGAAGAATACACATCTTAACCTAGAAGTCAGTTGGGAATTTGAGGAAATACAGGAGATGGGACAATTGGACACATATTAGGCAGTGGTTAAGCTGTTACTAAAAATACTGAGAAAGGAGTTTAGGGTGTGGCAAAGCTGACTGGGAAGAGGTATGACCTGTTGATTGCAAAATCCCAGGACACATGTGCAGAACAGTTCCCAAGGCTCAGCATGTAGACTTCTTGCAAGATTGGAGCAGGTTTTTAATAGGACAGCCTAGACCTGACATTAGCCTGAGGAGTGGGTGATACAAAAAGAACAGTCCACATTGAGTTTTGCTGCTGTATTCTCTCTTGCATGGTGACCCATCCTCATGTTGGAGGGCAGTGGTGGTGAACCTATTGCACACATGCCACAGTGGGTACAAAGAGCCCTCTCTGTTGGCACATGGAGCCAAGTTGCCCCAGCCAAAGTTTGACAAATTATCAGCATGCATACGACAGCAAAGATCACATTAATTGTGCAAAAGGACACCAAATGCAAACTTTTACCTTTCAATGAAAAGCTATATCACTTAAAGCTGTTTTTCTTTTAAAACAAAAGATGTTATTGTATGAGTTGTCTTTTCTACACTAAAATCTCAGTATTCAGGCTTACTTGCAGTGGTGGCACTTTGCAATAAATAAGTGGGTTTTGGGTTGCACTTTGGGCACTTGGTATCTAAAAGTTTTGCCATCACTGCTGTAGGGTGTACTTCTTTTCTACTTTTACTTGGCCCAAACTTGCTCTACAGAGCAAGTTCCCACCTCCAATAAAACTTTGCTACTGTTTACACTTGTCTTGATCAATTCTTTGCTCAGGACAGAAAGAACCTACAAACCGCCTCCAGAAGGAGACTGTAATATCCCAAAAGCCAGTAACTATACCTCAGAAGACAGATCAGTATCTTCATGATTTTTGATACACAGATTCAATGCAATCTCCATTAAAATCCCAATAACATTGTTCACAGAGCTAGAAAAATAATCCTAAAGTTCATACAGAACCGTAAAAGACCCCATATAGCCAAAGTGATTTTGAGCAAAAAGAACAAAGCTGGAGGCATCATAGTGCCTGACCTTAAAACATGCTACAGAGCTATAATACCAAAACCAATAAAATACTAGTGTAAAAACTGACACTTAGACCAATGAAACAGAATAGAGAATCCAGAAATAAATTCAAGCAGTTACAACCAACTGGCACAAAATTTTCCAAAATCATACATTAGGAAACAGTCTCTTCAATAAATGGTGCTGAGAAAACTGTATACACATATGCAGAAGAAACTGCATTGAAACCAGACCCCTGTCCTCTCACTCTATACAAAATCCATTCAAAATGAATCAAAGAGCTAACTGTTAGACCCAACACTATGAAACTACTAGAGGAACATTTAGGAAAACATTGAAAATATTGATATTGACTTTAATTTTTTGAAAGATTCTAAAAGCAAGAATAAATGAGATTACCTGAGACTAAGAAGCTTCTGCACATCAAAGGATATAACAAGCTGAAGAGACAACCTGCAGAATGAAAGTATTTTCAAAGTTTTCATGATTCAGATTTCATTAACATCTTCAGTGAACAAGGAGCTAACAAAAAAAATCAATTTAAAAATGGATAAATAATCTAAATAGACATTTCTCAAAAGAAGGTATACAAATGACTAGCGAGTTTTGGGAAAAAATGCTCTATCACTAATCAGGAAAATGTAAATCAAAATCACAATGAGATATTATCTTACCTCGGAATGGCTGTATTAAAAAAGACAAATAATAAATATTGGCGAGGAGGTAAAGATCCTGGGTATACAACCAATTAAATGAAATCAATATGTCAGAGAGACATCTGTGCTCCTTAATTTATTGCAGCACTATTCACATAGCCCAAGACAATGGAATCAACTGAGGCATCCATCAAAAAATGAATTGATAAAGTGTGAGATTATATATATATATATATATATATATATATATATGAATGACCCATAAAGAAAAAATGAAATCCTGTCATTTGCAATACCATGGGTGGAATTGAAAGACAGTAATGTTAAATGAAATAAGCGAAGCACAGAGAAAAATACTGGATGTTCTCACTCTTACATGGAAGCTAAAAAAACTAGAGTAGGATAGTGATCACTAGCAGCTGAGAAAGATTGCTAGGATAAGAGATAAAGGGAGATGGGATAATGGGTACTAAAATAGATTACATAAGAAGAATGAGCTCTGATGTTTTCATGACAGGGTGATTATAGTTCATAATAATTGTCCACCACCGCTCCCAGCCCAGAAGAGGTGAGCCAATCCCAGTGCCCAGGAGGAGGCTTCCGGGCCTCTGTACCATCCCCCACCCAGCTCAGAGGAGATGAGCCACACAGGCACCCACAGCAAACCCCCCCCTGCAAAATGAGAAGACATGTAAATAAGTCTCAAAACCAGAATTCCAGATTACCTAAAGCAACCGAAAAGGGAAGCAAGATGGAACACTCTGATACTCAACCACCTGGACTCCCTGAACTGGCAACAAAAGAGGATCTGGAAAAAATGAAATCAGAAATAATTTC